CATAAGCTAAAATATTCTCATATTAAATAATATACTTTGAGTACTTACTTTTTAATGAAGATTTGCATGCCTCTTATTAATTAAAGGACTAAATCATTATTATTGTTTAATCATTTTTAAATTCTATGTGTTTGTAGACTTTTTAATTAAAAGAACAAAAATTTATCATGTTAGTACGTAGTGCTGATATCCTTTCTTTCTCATGAGCGGGACATAAATGGTTGTACTAACCAAGGTTTTGGTGTATCAAATTATAAAGAGTTTCTCTTAAGAAAATTATCTATGTTAGTTATTGAAAATGAAAACTTTAATGTTATTTATCAGGACAAGAAATGCTTACCTATTTGTTAGTCTCTCAATATGCAATTGAACGTTGGAATTCGCCAATGTTTTAGAGGCACATGTATAATCCCAATTCATCATTGAATTGAAGAACACATACATTTTCAGCTAATGTGAATGCTTCTTTATCCAAGCATCTCCCACAAGAGTAATCCCTCCTCCTGCTCCATCCCCAACCTTTCAGAATCATGCCACACGGTTTTTAGAAAATTGTGCCTTGAAAAGAGCCTTTAACACAAAAAAATGAATAAGAGAAAATAGTTTCACAAAAAAAAAAAAAAAAACCATAGCGCATGAAATTGTGCCTAATCATACTCCAATTGTAGAGTGATCACCTATCCACCACCATAAAAGGAGAGAAAAGTTCATTTTTATGCACCTTATCTAACATTATGACTATATATCTCTTTCTTGAGCATTTTCTATTTGAATTATAATATTTTTTCTCTTATTTATTCCAATTAAAATTAGAATGTATATAAAAGAAAGAAAAAAAAATCCAAAAATATAAAGATGGAAAGAGATGGATGGGACATAATTTTATTCAGAAATGAAATTCTTATATGCAACTATTTGGTAAAACTGAAGAATATCAGTTGGATGTTTTACATACCACTTTCCATGATGCCATGCCTTTTTTTGATGACTCCATGTGAATTTGTGGCAAATATTCAGATACAGAACACTATAAAGTGACATAGAAGTGTTCACTTATAGATTATGGAATAATAGAATTTCCATAATTTTTTAGTGTTCATAATAATCAAAATAGCTTACCTAATTGAGAATTATGTAGCATCCAGAGTATTATAAGGGTGAAATTATGCATGTGTGCTATGAAGGTAAAATTAAGTATGTGTGTCAATCATGACTTGTATATAACAATTTGAGCTCTCTTTGGTACTCCCCTTATTTTTACGCTTTCCTTCCAGATGATTATGTTATCATTCTAATTGTAGTCATAGTTAAATAAGTTCCATAATTTGGCCTCTGGATTTTTTTTTTTTTTTGGTATTCCTAGAAAAATTCTTAATTATCTATAGTTATCATGATAGTAACTCTGCGATATATATAATTTTTCACTAGAAAAATAAGGAACAGATTTTTTTGTATGTTTCTCAGTAACTCAACAATTTAGTAAGATTTCATTAGCTTCAAGATTTGGTGCTCAAACCACCAAGATTGGGTGTACATGGAGCATAACCAATGTTGTTGCAATAATGGATGAAAGAGGGAGCATAATCAATGTTCTTGCAATAATGGATGAAAGAGGGAGCATAACCAATGCTCTTGCAATAATGGATGAAAGAGGGAGCATTGGTTTGCACCATTCGGGCTTTATTATTTTTTTTTTCCCCTGACCAAAGCACCAAGATTTGCTGCAAATAAAAAATATTTTTTTTTTATTTTTTAATATAATTATTTATTCAAATGAAGGAAAGAAGAGGAGAGGTACGAAAGGTAATAAATAATAATTCTCTTACTCTTCTTTCTCCTCTCTTCTATTTTCTTCAACATAAATATAAGATTAATAAATATGATAAAAAAGTAAATAAATTTTAATTATTGAAAATAAAAAGATAAAAAATTATGATTTTTGAAAGTGTAACGTGTGAAACTTATATATAAATAAATCTTAACTCAATTATAATTCATTTGTCATAAAAATTTAATAAAAGAATTTTAAAAACCAAATATGTAAATTATCTCTCAATAATTTTTTATTTAAAGCTAATATGTCACCTTAAAATTTTAATTTTAAAAAAATCAGTTTAGAGTTTAGGGCTGTCGGACTTGAAATATAATAGTTTAATAAAAAAATAATTGAATTAACATTAAAGGTTAAATTTAAACGAATTCCTCTAAAATAAAATTTTGAAAAAGTAATTTAGTTTGACCCCCTTTTTTTCGCTAATTTATTTTAAGGAAAAAGTATTGGAGTGCAATTGTTACCTTCTACCAAATTTTAAGCTTTCAAAGGTGATAGTGGCCTCTATTATCCTCAGGTCAGATTCATCTTCCAGTAGATGTTAAAGGACTTAATTTAATAATTAATTTATTAATTATTAACCTAATTTTATTTTAGTCAATAGAGTTAGTTTTTTTTTTATATGGTCTATAAATTTTATAAAATATTTTAAATTTACTATACAAAATTTTTATTTGTTTAAACAAAAAATAATAGAAAAATTAAACCAAAATTAAAATAAAGTAGTTTCAACTAGTAAAACAGTTCATAATTAACTATGCAAACTGTTAAAACACGTTAATAATTGTAATTTTTGCTATAAAAAAAAGTTAAAAGAAAAAATTAAATAACATATAATAAATGTTATAATCTCTAAAACAGTAAAAAGTAACTTTTCATTCTCACAAAATTAATTTTAAAAAGTAAAAATTTACAAAAGATATAATCAAAAATCAATGTGACCAAATAAAGCAAAATTGTTATAAAAAAAATTAATAAATTAGATTAAATTGAAATAAAAATAATAAATAACAAATAAATTTAAAAGTATCTAAAAATAATAAACAAAATAAAAAAAGTATAAAAATTATTAAACTATTTATTAAATTAAGTTGATGTTAAAGTTAGTGCGTGAATAACTTTAAATTAGAAAGATGAAAATGCACCTTTCCTAATAATAAGACCGTTCAAGATAAACACTACCAGAGAAAGTGCCAACTGCCAAGCAACATTCTCTCTAACGCCCTTTTTCGAATATTCTCCTTGTGATTTTTTTTTTTTTTTTATAACGATAATGATTAGAAGTTAGTATGTTAGAGGTGTTAGTTGAGGATAATAAACCCAAAACATGAGAGTGCAAACCACGAGTTGTCTTTTAGGACAGCAAGTGGCCACTAAATCATGGCACGTGGAATGCATTCTTCCTATGATTGTAATAATGGAAATATAGATATTTGAGGATTTGATAAAGATAGGTTTTTTTAAAGTCATATATTAAAAATATATTTAATGTATTTTTTAATTATTAAATTATATAAGAAATTTAATTTTAATTTAAACAATTAAATAATTAAATTAACACATGTGATAATTGAGGCAGAAACTAATGTTATTTTTT